GCACAGCTTGACAAAAATCCCAAAGACAACTTCCACATATTAAATGAATAAAAGCATAACAACATGCAAACAAAATAAAATTTGAAAGCCATGAAGTTCTTAAATGGAAAACTAAATAAATTTATCGGACTGACCTGCAACGCAAAAAATTTTGTATTTAAGTTTTGACTGTTCTGAAGGATGTGCACTACTTGGAGCCACATATCAGGATTGTTCTGCAATTCTCGTAATATCTGGTCCGCTGCAGCCCTCTGTCAACATCGCAAAGGGAAAAACATTCCGTTAGGCTTCAGAAAAAATCAACTTGGAAAAGTCATTGACCCTACCGCTTCTCTTCTTAGGGCTTGTAATGAAATTCTGAGCCACAAAGGATTTGAAATCTGAAGAAGCTAATTATTCCGAATTTTGAAATTTAGGGGAGGGGGTGACACGACACGACAACACGACCGAAACCAGCACGACACGGACACACAGTTATTGAGAGAAAACACGAAGTCGACACGACATGACACGAAATCAACCCGAACACGACCCGTTTAGATAAAGTGGTCAAATTATGCAATTATCTTACATTTTACATAGTTTTTGATAGATTTTATTAACAACACGAAATTGACATGAGACCAAACACAAACATGACACGGCACGAACTTTTGCTAGCTCTAGAGGGGGTCATAAGCAGCTACTATGCAGCAAATATCACCATTAGACCTGGTCATTAGGCAGGTCAGGCAGGGTTGATTGTGGGTCGGGTCGAAGAGGGTCACATTTTATAGGTCAATAGCGGTCGTGTGTCAATAGCGGGTCGAAAATAGGCGGGCCGACAAACTATCAATTAAAATAAATATCAGACAAAGCCATAATTAAGTGTATATGAATATGAAAACATCAATGTAAGTTTTTTACATTATCTTTTTTCTTTAAGTTTTAAATTGGACAAACATTTTACTATATTGACCCTGTCCATTGAAGGCCATGTCCATTAAGGGCCCTTAAAGCTTGGCCCTAACCCTATTATCATTTGGCTATCCTACCCAATAACCAAGTCTAATTACCACTCATTCAACAAGCAAACTTACGGTAGAATCAAACCAGTAATACAAATATTTGACATGTGACTATATATTAATAGGAACACAAGTGTTCAACTCTTTCAGCATTTATATTAATAGGTACACTATGTTATATTTACCAAAAACATTAAGCAAAAAAAATATATATGTTAGACTTCTCCAAAACACCTAGATTACGACTTCTCGCCGCATAATTCCCTCGAACACTACTTCACATGTTCCTTATCAATTCAAAGTACGCAAATTTATAGAAAATTAAACTCCCAAAATCATAAATTCACGAGGAACCAATCCAGTATACAATAAGCAGTAAATTCAAACAGTAACAATCCTACAACGACAACCATACAATGATTCCCAACAATTTCACAATATTTGCGAGCATAACAACTACATTATACCCCACAAAAAATACTCAACAAATCAAAATTACATGCCCTAAATTGCTCCAACAACCAATGTATTACCATAAACATAACAAATTACCAAAAACAAATCCTCACTTGCAACCATAAAAAAAACAAACCAAAATCAAAAAAAAAAAAAAAAAATCACAAACTCGCAGAATACTCCACACTTCACGAGTAGAAAAAATTCAAAAAAAATGCTGCAAAAATAAAAATAAAAAATCGAGCGTGAATTTGACACTACAATACCTCTTCCTTAGATCCGGTGCCATAGAAGGCGGCAACGGTAGCGTCAAGAAGAGGAACATCAATAGGCTGACTCAAATCCCTGAGCTTTTCAGCCGCCATATCTAATGATCGGAAAAAAAGTTTTCCGATAAACCCTAACCCTAGAAATTAGTCGGAAAAAAGTTCAGTGAAAAACAAAAACCCTAGCCTTTCTCTCTCTAAAATTTTTCTCAATATTTGGAAGATTTAAGAGAGAGAAAATTAAAAGCGGGACAACGAAAGGGAGAAGACTGTAAAAAAGACAGCTTCAAATTGAAGCAGAGTTTTTATTTTGGGTTTTTTTTTTTTAATTCGGGTTTAAGTTTTTGGGTTTTATAGGAGTTATACACTACAATAAATTGAGTTAGCGTTAATTTGAAGTGGGAGTTTTATTAAGTGCGGTTGCGGCACACCGTCATATGGTAAGAATGTGTTGAGGGAGGAGTTGGAGGCTCGGGCAAAATGAAAATATTTGGGCTCGTTTTTTAATATAGTTTGGTAGGGAAAAGTGAACATTTTTGTTTTTTTCTTTCTTCGAATTTGAATCTTCTTCTTGAATATGTTGGAAAAAGTTAGAATTTGGAATAAATATGTTATGCTTTTGATGGAGAATGTTATCTGTGAAAAACAAACAGTATTTATAACGATAACTGGTTTTATATGATTCTTGTGAGAATGACATAGAGAATAATGTTGGTACTCAGTATAATATACTTGGTTGGTTCGGAAATAGATTGTTTATTGTACAGTGAAATTGTGATTATGGAAATTGGAATAAACATTTTATGCGTTTTTATGAAATTGTGATTATTGTACTCTGAAAGAGATTATTTATTGTATATGTAACGGTAACTGGTTTTGTAGGATTCCTGTGTTGATGATGCAGAGAATAATGGAGGTATAATCCACTTGGTTGGATCTGGAAATGAGATTGTTTATTGTAACTGTAAATTTAGGATGATTTGGTTTATCACGTGAGCAAATCAAGATAGATCTTCTTCTTCTTCTTGTTTTCTAGATGAGTATGGGATTTATGCAATACCAGAAAAATAACCTAAACAATCATCTCAGTCAACTAGTTTCCATGATTTTAGGTTATGAAAAGTTCATTGTCAGCTTTTATTAAATGACCATAGAATGTAATTTTCATTGTGATAATCTTGTTAATAAACTTTCAAAAATCTTAACTAACCAAAAGAAGTCATGCTCTAAACTTAGAAGAAGAAGAAAATGCTGAGCATCTCAACTGTCTAGAAACAATGATCATGATCAAACTTCAGATGCATTAAGCACACGTGCATAGTGCCCATCATTATACAAGGAGACGCTTATATTCGACAATCATTTTCCAACACTGCTCAACCTCAAAGGTGTTTTCATAAATCTTATATATTTAGCATCTGCTTTTTAAAAAATGAAATGAAAGAAGAAAGTCAAATATTTAAGAAACCAACACATGATAATCAAACATCACCTAGCCTGCGTATAGTTTAAGTCTGACAACATAGCAAACGTTTTATAATCAACCATTTCAACTATTAACAACTACAACTAATGGAGATAGAACTCATAGTGCAGTGGCCCAAAGGTCGCCTTGCTTCTCTCCTCTTACCCCTCAAGGATTGCCAACCAAGCTTCATGTGATAAGAGCCTTAGTTGAGGCCCGATTGACCTTACTGGGTAATTTTTTATTTTAAAAAAAAAAACTACAACTAATGACACCGTGCTTCATAAGGTACTGAAAAAAGAATCTTTTTTCTGGCGGAAGTTTTACATTTAGAGATTAAATCACATTATAATTTATTACCTCGCTTCAAACTTGCATTTTGTAATGTTTAGTTTGTTTACTCAGTAGGATAGGTTAAACAACTCAAACAATATTTGATTGATCCGTTAATATATATATTTTTTTAAATATGTTTTAAAGTGTGCAAACACTTAGCCCTCTATCACGGCATCACTCAATTGTATATTAGGTTAATGTCATTTACAAGTATTAAAACATACGCTAATACTTTAAAGTGGGTGACATTTATCTTTTGTAATTCAATATGAAACACAAAACAGTTAATAAAGGTCAAAACGAATGAACAAAACTCAAACCAATCAACATCCAACCAATACTTCTGTTGCTAATTGTTATGCAATTTAGTTTTGTGGACAATGGCCTAAAACAAAATACCTTTTGTAGCGATGAATACACATCCTTTGTTATCCCTTAATTGCAATGTAAAGTAGATGTATTATAAGAAAACGAAATACATAGTACATAAACCGATAAAGAGAAAGACCCAAGCCTTGAGGAGAGAAAAAAAAAAGAATAGAACATCACCGACCAAACAAAATACCGAGTACCATTGCAACTACTTAGTACGGAATATATTACCAAAAATACAAATTAAATTACGATACATCAATAACATAATACTAAAACAGACACCATGAATGACACGTGTCGCTTCCTGGTGCTGTTTTTTCCTCTAAAACTCCCCCTTCCTTTTTAAGCAAAAATCTTTTATTTTTGGAATATTTGTATAATACAACTACAATATTATGTTATTCCTGATCTTAATATTATCTTTATAATAATTATATTCCTTATTATTTTGTGTTCTATTTACTTAAAATAGTTACACAAGATTTTAAGAACTTTTAATTAAGAGAGAATAAGCTATAATTTAAAGGGTTGAAATATGGTGAAGAGTATAAAATAACAGAACCAAATATTCAATACTGGGGTTCAATGAAAAAAAAAACATTTCTATTCATGGTGTTGATTTGAAATCTTATAAAATAATAATAATTGAGTTAGTTTTCTGTTAAATATTTCTTTAATAATTTTACCAACTTTTAATTTTTTTTTTCCTTCAAAAAATCTATAAACTATTATTAAAACAGATAATGCTTACATCGATCATTTTGCACATATGTCAAGTTATCATTAAAAAAAAATTCGTTAATACAATATATCATGTTAGCTTTTATTTTTTTGATTATTCTACTTAGCTTATATTTTGGAAGTACATTGTATAGTTTTTTTTAACTAAATTAATTCATTAATAAAAAGTCATTCAACATCTACATTGTACAATTTTATTAGAAATAACATGCATCATTAATGTAATATAATGTATAATATTTTTAAATATTTTCAATACAACTAATCAAAAAAAATATTTTTTTCATTATAAATTTTCTCACTTTTTATATTAAATCACAAATTAGTTATAGAAAATAAGATTATTACTATCATGCATCACACAATCATTAAACAGAATGGAAATAAAAAAATTCGTTAATCCAAACAAGTCTTGCTCACAAAACTAACAACAGGGTCACCGCTCAGGCGCTCACGCTCAAAGTCTACGCCACGGCTACTCTCTCTCCCCTCTTTCTCTCTCTTCTGATACAATTGTTTATGCAAAAACTCGTCTGAAACTACATTGACATTCCCAGGTTCGAGGAAGTGAGAGTAATGATGAACCTATTCAGGTTAGCCGGGGATATGACCCATCTCCTCAGCATCATTGTACTTCTTTTGAAGATCCATGCTACCAAGTCTTGTTCTGGTATTATATTTCTTGTTTCCTCTTTTCATTTCTATGAATTTTGTTGCCCATTTTTTATGATTTTGTCATCAATGTTGTTTTGTTTGATTTTTTGATGTGGGTATTGATTATATGTTAATGGGTTTCTCTTATTTCTGAGTATTTAGTTGAAATATTTTTTTAGATTATGCATGTTGGATTGTTTTATGGATGAAGTTTTGGAATTTTTGATTAGGGATTTTGTTATAATTCATAAAGTTTTTGTTTTGTGGTTGATTTAATTGATTTTGGTTTGTTTGATCATGATTCATGCACAGGTGGGAAGAAGAGGTGGGTAATTAGGAAATCGGTGAACTAATTTTTATTTGTTCACCTTGACCTAAAATGGGGGCATGTAGGAAGAAATGTGAATGATATTGTCTCCAATTATTTCGTTAGTTTGGTGCAGGAAGGGTTAAGTTTTTGGAAATTGATAATCGCAATTGATAAATTGTCACTCCTTAATTATTGCAATACAAAGTAGAGATGGGTATGTATTGTGTATCAGCTTAAGAGTATTCAGGAAACAACCTCTCTATTATCGCGGAGCCAGTTAAAAGGCATTGGGGTGATGTTGATTTTGAGTCATGCGTGATTTTGATGATTTAAATCTTGGTGCAATTTCATGTTAAGTAATATTGCTTGTTTGAGAGTTACTTAACTTTTGTTTGTGCTGAACAGTTTGTTATATATTTCTCCAGGGATATCTCTGAAAACCCAGGAATTATATGTTATTGTCTTCTTGACCCGGTACTTGGATCTCTTCACCAGATTCGTGTCTTTGTATAACACTGTAATGAAGATAGTCTTTATCGGAACATCATTTGCTATTGTTTGGTACATGAGATATCATAAAGTTGTGAAACAAACATACAGCATGAACGAAGATACTCTTAAGCATTACTTTTTGCTGCTGCCATGCTTTGGGTTGGCTCTTCTGCTTCACAACGAATTCACTTTGATGGATGTAAGTCATACTGTCTGTTCCTACCCTTAATTTGCAAATCTGTGCTGATTTTATTGATGTTGTAACAATAATCTTGAACAAAATCTGTAGCCTTTATTTCCAAATAAGGCTAGTAGAAATAGTAAGATATCGTTAATACATAGAGAACTAAAGCACTCCTACAATAAAAGAAATTGGGACAGACAGATAAATTACCTTTTATAACACATATGCTTACATGAATGCTTGATACTTTACTACAAATGATGTGCAATGAACAAATGAACCGATGAGCTAATTTGAAGAGTCTATTGTGGAGGATCTTATGCTAAGTTAAAATTTTCTAACAGTGGATAGATCTCCCTTCATTTTTCTGTGGTGTCCCTGAGACCCTGACAGCAGCTAGATCCAATATCATGTTCATGTAACAATTCATGTTTCTTTAAGGAGCTAAGTTGCAAAAATAAGAGCCTGAATACCAGGATGTAAAACCTTGACGTACATTGAAGAAGCTTATAAGTCTTTGTATTAGGGACTAGCTTTCACTCAGCTCAACAATCACTGATTCACTTATCCATGTATACTGTAACCTGTCGAGACTTGATAGCTTCTTTTATTAGAAACATACTTTCAGTGTTTGATGAATTGAGTGTTACTTATTCTTCATATTTCTTGAATCCTGATTCCTAAATGTGTATGGTAGGTTTTGTGGACCTTTTCATTGTATCTGGAAGCAGTTGCCATCTTGCCACAACTGGTATTGTTGCAGCATTCAAGAAACATTGACAACTTGACTGGAAATTATGTGTTCCTCCTGGGGTATTTTCCCTCCATTTCACCTTATTCTGCCATTCTGTTTGGTTTAAGCTTTGCTTGTTCAAGCAAAGTTATCATAATGAATATTGTTTCATTCTTCTTGGCTGCTGTTATTGAGATGTTTGTATTTGGTTAGCATATTTCTTAAAATTCTGTTAAAATTCCTTCTAGCCTAACCTGATCTGTTATACTGGAGGTTGTTTTGTATTACTGCATGAGCAGTAATTTAAGAAAGAAATTGTTAGAAAAACTCAGAAGCCTTTGTGATTGTATTGGCTTAAACTGCCAAGATCCAAGGTTGGATGGGGAATTTATGTTTTACCTGCTCTAATGTTGTTTTGCATGATATCGTGATTTAACTCACCCCTGCCCCGTCTTTGGCCCTTTATCCCAAACAGCGTTATGAAATGCTTTAAGGACTGAAGCACACAATCAAGTAAAGATTTGAAGAACATATGTTCAAACCTGTACTAATATTTTGTAACAGTAATTTCAGTGCCACGAATCATAATTTAACTTTTCTACCTTATTAATCTTTTTTTTTCTTTTTTTGAAGGGTTGCATAATCCTTTTTTAATACCTCTATCTCCCTTATCCTTCCAAATAATAATTAATTTAATTTAATTTGCCTTTTTTGTTCTTTAAACAAAAAAGAGGTAATTTTTTGAGTTATTGTTGTTTACAATGTAGGGAAAAAATGTCTTCAATTTTAAATTTGTATTTTTGTAAGATTTTAGGTAAAGATAATATACATTTATATAATCATATAAAAATCCAATCGGTGCATTGCAGGGATAAAAACTAGTTGCCCATAATCTGTATCTGCTCCACCATGATCTGAATTTCTGTTTCTGTCTCTCAAAGTGTTAAGGGTGGAACATAAAAAAAAAAAAAATTTGAATTTTTTTTTTTTATCTGTGCTCCGTAGTTATTATTTTTGGTCCAAAAATATCTAGATCACACTGGTTTCTATATGTTAAGTGAACTAGAGTATTAAATATACCTTCCATTTGAGAGTTAAAGGCAACAACCTCTATGCAACTACCAGACTGAGACCATGTATGTTTTTCAATTCTAACTCCCCTAGGCACTGCCGTGGTTTAGGAGGTTGCCTAATTTAAAAAAATTGAGTAGTGTTATGGTGTAATGTAATGTCATTATGTTCTCTTTACCAAGATTTTTTTGAAAGGGATTATGGGGGATGTACCTCCTGGCTCCTGATAGTATATTTTATTGGTCAACCATTCAAATGAGATTCCATATATGGCAGATGGATTATAGTGATTCATCTTTAATCCATTTTTTCTTTTTTGCAGTGCATATCGTGCTCTTTATGTTTTGAACTGGATATATCGGTACTTTTTGCAAGATCACAGGGCTCGCTGGATTCGTAAGTCTTGAGAAATTTTACGCTTATTTGATTGATTTTTAATGATGTCCATTTCTGAGAAAGTAACTTGGATATAAAAACATTTGCAGCTTGGATATCAGGTCTGGTCCAGACAGCTCTTTATGCTGACTTCTTTTATTACTACGTACTCAGGTACGGAGTATTCCTTTTCTGCATGATTCCCACCTCATTCCCAAACAAAGAAAAAGAGGGAAAAGAAAATTAAAAATTTAGAAAAAGATGCCATGATCATGCTGTATTCATGCCAATCAATTGGAGCTGCAAGGCATGCTATATAGATCCCCCCTCTTGTGTGTCCGAGATCATGGATTTTTGACTGTGATTGATGATTGCACTTTCTTTATACCTTATCTTTCTGTTGTCATGAAGAGCAATGCAGTCTATAGTATGTTGCTTTCTTTCCCCCTACTGTGAAACATGACCTATGCCAATAAGAAACAAAATGCTTGCCGTGTTTTTATATAGATATGTGCCCATGAAAATTATCTTCCTATGTGCCCAATCTTGCTTAATTATTAGTGGGGCAATTGTAGGTGTAGCTGGCCTTCCTGAAAATTTGCAGTATAACTTGAACTCTTAACAATTTCCAAGTTGATTTTGTCTGACAAAGCTTGTTTGAACGTACTAATAAGCTGCTCAAGTGCAAATTGTTTTGACATTTTGAACCTCATACTTTAAATTGTGTTGATTTCTTTCTTTCTAATGTAATTTGTTTGTTTTTGCAGCTGGAAAAAGCATGAGAAGCTCAAACTTCCTGCTTGATGTACGGAGCAGCTTTGATTCAGCCTTATACATGATCAGAAAGTGAAAAACATGGTTCTAATGACACCGTAACTCGACAAACTCCAGATTATATATATTAATATTAAAAAAAAAAAACACTTATCACCAAAAAGCTACAGGATATCTTATATTTTCTTATCATATCATAATGTTTAGGAGACAGTTGTTATGTGCCTCTTCTAACCTAGCAGCAATACTGCTGTTCCTAGTTTAATTTTGTTTAGTGTAGAACCATGATAACTTCTCAACAAGTTGTCAATTATCTTAGCTTTTACTTCATATTTTCTTCTTCCCTTGTTCTGAGTCTCTGATTTTGTACAAAATTTTACTGGACCGTGAGTCTATAATGGTCTTCTGTTGAATCACTTCTCTATATGGGGTTTAGCTTAAGAAGCTATATCTAATGCTTTACAGTTTTATCCTAAACTAATGGAACAACTGAATGTGTTTTCAACACAAAAATTAATTTTGTGAATTTCACAAGTTGTCAAATATCTCAGCAGCTTGCAATTTGAGTTTAGCTTGGCATGCCTTCACTAATACTACAAGAGTACAAGGTCTATAATAATGAGAAATTTTGGCTTAAAACTTAGTCACAATTACCACCAAAAAAAAAAAAATAATAAAAAAAAGAAGCTGTTTGAGCTCAACCAATTTGACTATAAGCCAAAGCAAACTTCTATTTTTTTTTTTTAAAATAAAATTGAATCATAAAAGTCATACGACATCTACAAAGAGATTTAGATTTAAGAAATACATGATAATTGAATCAAATAGAAACACCTTGTCAGCAAAGCTACGATCGTTGTTGCATATTGTACATTCTTCATACCCTCTTTCATATCGCTGTGATTTACAATCTTCTTTGGCAAGGGGGTCTGTTGATCTCTTGTAGCCGTGAAGAAAATTTTCGTATGATTCATTGGATTGTAATCGAATTAACCTCTTTTTCGATCCCGCATAAAGTTTTATCCATGAAACAACTCTATAGCAATCCATGAAATAAAAAAGCAAATCCTCCCTCAAAAGAGAGAAGAAAAACCCAGTCTTTCGAAAAATCCTCCTAAAGAAGAAGAAAAACTCTGTCTTTCGAGGGAGAAATATTCCTCATAGAAGAGGAAGAGTTATTATAAATCTAAAACAAGAGAAAAAACACACAAAAACAACGATTGGGGCTTCCAACCGGTAAAAACCGATGGAAACCCGTCCAAAATTCAACAATGAAGGATAGGGTTTTAGGGAGAGGCTTTCTTTTATCAGATCTGAATGCTTGTTTCGGATTTTTTTTGTTCCTTTGAAAAGGGGAAGTAGGGTGGAGAGCTTAGATTTACAAGGTATATCGCCAAGTTAAACTCTAGGTTTGATTCGTGGCTCAAAATGAATTTAACGATATCAACTCTTTGTGCCAAGTCAACTGTGCTTGATAGAGGTGTTGGTTATGCTCGTTGTTAACCCTTAGTTCAGTTCACTTATCATCAAGGCGCCAACTTTAAAAACGGCATGTTTGCGGAAGCACTGTATTGTCAGCAAGGCCAGCTTTTATACGTAACAAACCACATAAGAACTGTATTGTCTAGTTTAAAGGCATAACATAAATAGCCAATCTTGGCTCAGACACTAAACAGATCTTCCTTTCATCAATAATTTACGAGTCAATTCTGTATCTAAAGTGTGAAAGTAAACAATAAAGCATGCCTGAAGGAACCTAAGGGTTCTGCAACATCCATCTAAGATGCCGAAATTGAAACAGTATACAGAACATATTGGAGAAGACTACATAGCCAAAATTCTCCAATAGTCAGAGGCCTATGCATCTTGTAACACCTCTCTTCTTTTATATGTACAGACCTTTAACAAGTCGTCATGAATAACGTGATCAATATTGACAATCGGAAGGGCTTACTTCACCTCAAATGAACGAAACTAAGCATCTATACCAGCCTTCTTATCCCTCAGATTATAACTCTGCAAATTCACTTCTCAGGTTTGCTTTTCAATGATTATCAAGGACAACTCACAAATTTGATTCCTGGATATTTGTGTGGGAAGTAGCATCTGAAGATGACTCTGTAGTTGTCACATTGGTAACTGTGGATACTGAATGGCTAGAACTAGCACCTTTGTCCACCTGTTGTTTCCGCAGATACTCAAGTTGACTCTGTAACAACTGAGGCAGAACATCGTGAAGGTTAGTCGTAAAACATAACAGGTAAGCGCTAGCAAATAGATAAAGTTGTATAAATTAAACATAAAACAAACTCATAAATAAGTTCATTATTATTGGCACCCTTAAATATGGGTGGAAGGATACAGAATATCTCAGATAAATGCTCAAAATCAAGCCAACAGAGACCACAGTACATAAATCATGTGTTGATAGTTTGATACATAAGAATATTGTTGGGATTTGAGAGCATAAGACGATCATCTTCGTAGAAAGGCTGAAATATAGACGATCTGCATCATATTCCACCCCAAAACCAACCTAAGGGTTTTCGGTGGAGAAGATCCCTGGGCATATATGTCTGTCTATTATTTGATCCTAAATGTGAGACTGTAAAGAATAAGAGCCTCAACAATGATTTGCTATAACATTGGGCCAATAATGGATCGCACAGAAGGCAATTATGTTTCCATAGACAGCCTGTCAATATCTTATAGATTTGTTTTCTCCGAAAAACATAAAACACTGAGCATTTGATAAGTCCATAATAATATGCATTAGGGATGTCACATTTAATTTTCCTAATGAAGGAGAGATAGTGTTTTGCACAGATAATATACATTGGAACTTTGGAAACACAATATAATTGGGTCTGTTTTCAACTTTTTATCATAAAAATTTGTCACTTTCTACAAGTAGATCACTACTCATTCTATCTCAATCACCCATTCTCCCTTCACTGTCTTTCTTGAACTGAAAGCTTAGTCTACAGCCCATACCCTTTTGTTCATCTTAGCAGCCGTCAAAGGTAAAGTTCCAAACAGAGGATGTGCATGAGAGGAGAAATTTCAGTCTATTAAGTCGACGTAGCTAGGGTCAAGGTATAAAGATAAACTAATAACCATCTTTTCTGTTTATGGGTACTTGAATTCTCTCTTTGGCATTTATTAATAGGCAAATAATGGATCAGTTGGACACTTGGGCGCATACTGATAAGCCTAATTCTAAAGATATAGATCAAGGCTTGGAAATCAGGGATGAAGAAGGGATCCTGCAAAAATCTTGTGGCAAACTTGTCAAGGATTAACATTCTTAGAATGAGACTGTTTCATAATTGAAGACTTATTGCATTGTTAAACCCAGTTAACTTGACTTCATGAAAAGTCTAGTACAGTCAGAGGGCATCATGATTTCTGTTATTAATAGTGTAAAAGTATAAAGATAAATTAATAGCCTTCTTTTCTGTTTATGGGTGCTTGAATTAAGTTCATAATAGGATTCAGCAATTGATCAGGCCAACACATCTAAATGCCCTGATTAGTTGTCACAACGAATAAAACAAGTGGTCAGTTTAAGCAAGACACACAAGGCATCTAGAGACAATTGGTAATGGTACCCATAAAGACAGGAAAAGCTTATCAGCAAAGGAAAGCTAGTATATCCTCATATCACAGAAGATGCCACATTACCAGAAACAAAATTTACTGAAACAGCATAATCAAGGGACCCAAAAAGGCAAACGGAAGATTCACAAAAATCCCAGGATCCAAATAGCCAAGAGTGGAACTAGTTCAGTCTTACCTGAATTTGATGCTCAAGAAAATTCCTGTGAGACTCAACTGAAAGATGACTGCTTTCCTCTCTCAACATATCAGTACCAGGTACTTGAATAGATGAAACAGGAAAAGGAGGCGCCTGCACGTAGGGAAAACTCATTTGCTCACTGGACATCACTTGTTGATGCTGAAGTTGTCCAACTGGACCAACCCCCTCGTCAGAATTTGCATTGCTTGAACCAGGCATAGCACCATGAACTTGTGGAAGCACAGCATATCCAGGGCGCCTTCGGACAAGGAGAAAATTAAAATTGTAAAGGATCTCTAATGTTCTTTATGAATTAAAAAGGCGGATGAAAAATTATTTAAACTGCTAAGCATGCCAAGTAGCAGATCATTAGTTAAATGCTCAAAACTAAAGTTTAGAATATCCACAGAATTCCTGTCAAATGGGCAATAGACATCTGCACATTTCAAGCAAAACCAGTCCAGCTAAAGCATACTTAACGGTTATTTTCTACTTGGTCATATGGAACACATAAAAGAATAAGATTAACAGTTCATGTTATATTTTAAGACTGTGATGAGGCAATAAAGAATACCAGATTAACAGGTCCCAATTTGTGAAAAAGACTAGAAGAACAAGTTACTTGTAATAAAAATAAAACTAACAGGGTTTCCAGCTCCAATCATTCACAACAGTCTGGTAATGAGAAAATGCTGGATGTTATGGTTGCTATTAAAGGACTTCAGCAAAACACAGAGTGATAATTAATATGTTTAGAGTTTTAGACAAATCTTTTTCCCCTTATACCAGCAGACAGCAATAATTGATTCTCAGTTGATGCTGTGATAATTCCATCATGAAATGTAACATCATTCAACTCCATCTTTTGTGAGAAACTTATACCATTCAACTCTACTCAGTAAAAATCAGGATAGCAGAGATAATAAGAACTTACCACACTAATGTATTTGCAGACGGGTAAACAAGGGATTTCTCATAAATTGCAGCAGCAGCTGCAGCAGCCTGCAGTCTAGCTTGATTACCGCTCAAAGGGCCGTCTGTAACAGTACCACTAGTTGACCCTTGACCAGAAGTATTAGTAGAAGCTAAAGAATCATAAAATATCGTCAGCAAATTCCAGTGAATGCAACAAAGTTACAAAAAGGGCCTAACAATCACTGAATATATATGAATCTTGCAATATTTCTATCAATGATTTGCTATACTATGTATAATTTAGGATATAGCACAAATATACTCAGAAGGAAAGCGTGGTTACCAGATTGTTGGACACCAGACTGCAGTCCATGTTGCCCTCCAGCGCTAACTGCACCAGTCTCAGGTGGAAGAACAAGAGCCCTGCAGGTTGGACAAGTATTTTGTCTTTCCAACCATGAACGAAGGCAGTGCACGTGAAAAAAATGTCCACAACTCAATTTCTTGGCAGTGGTCATTTCCTCACGACAAATAATGCAGGTTGCATCGCTTCTGCAATTGTTATAAGAGAAAGCTCAGAAAAACAACACAGTTAATTAGTGAGAAATAGATATGATGACACTAGAAAACAAGTCAATAGCTTACGTGTCCAGTTCCTCTGGGGTTGCATCTGGAAAACGGTCATTCATATTTGAAGTTATCTTCCGGTATCGAATGTAATCGGCTATGCGAATCTTAAAGTTGCGGAATGTTTCATAAAGCT